TTATTTTTTTTTGCGCTACAACATGGGATTATTCAATGCATGCTGATGAACTTTTATCATAGTTTATAGTTATATGTAAACGAAAGTGTGTTCAACCCTTTCTTTATCAGTAGTATTATTTGTGATTTGAATTTTGTGAATGGGAGTTTCTCCTTTGCTGTGTTAAGCCACGGGCTTCGGATGCTTTCACTTTCGTATTCACGATCTTGTTGTCACTGTTTTGCTTAAATACATCTACACACCTTTCATTTTTTTATGGCCGATTCTTAGAATTTGGAATACTCTATGTAATCTTACACTGCAAAATAATAACTCAAAAAGATTAAAAGATAACATTATAATTATTTACTGAACCCTTAAATTAATCAATTATATAATGAAAGCCACAAAAACAGACAATTAACCGTGATAATCGGCATAATCGTCAAAGCCCTAAAACAGACAATTAATCGCAATAACTGTGACTATTTTTAGTCAATTAATCGTCAGCCAAATTTCATAATCGTGACAGCCCTAGTTTACGCAGTATTGCATTACACCAAATACACAAAATACTGTTCTTTTTAGCAACGTCATATGACCCCTTTAATTGTTTTATAAAGTACTTTTATAATGCTTTCAGCTACAAAGAGGGTCATAGTCTGCTACATCATATTTATTTTGGTTTAGACACTAAATTTTATATATTGCAAAACAAATGATGTAAAGTTAAATTTTGCTCCATTTTACCAGCTGATACCTATACTATAAATGATTATTATACCTATATTATACATTATTTTTAATAAATACAATTAAATATAAATATTTTAAAATAAAATATAATTTAATAATTAATTGAAATAAAGCTTTGATCCATTTTAAAGTACTTTCTTTTGATATACAAAATTACAAATTATGTATAAAATATTATATTAACCTTTCCAAAAATAGAGGCCTATTCAGCCGATACATATGATAAATTATAACATTAATATATAAATGTCAGTAAATATTATGAATAAATTATATAAAATTTCGTTTGCAACATATGGCAGTGAATTTCTGAAAATGACTCATCTGGCAGGCCCATACAGAATCTGCACACTCCAAATTCTGCAGAACTGATCAGTTCCACATATTCTCCACTCTCTGCATGTTGGTTTATGAATTATTTTGGCTGACTTGTTGATGCTTTCAGCTACCAATAAGCCTGAAGTACTCGAAGCTCTGCAAGCTGCACAAAAACTCTGCAGACTAGACTTGCCGTTTTTTCCCCGAGCTGTCTGATGGGATGTCCGAGTGTGCAACTCACCCTGTTGGTTGTAGGACTGCTCAAACACAGTCTTGTAAAGGCTGCGGAAGGAGGCACTGAGATCTTCGAAGTCGGAGAAGAGCAGCTGCTTGTCGCGTTCCGGTATGTTGTACTGGGCCTGAGGGGCCTGCTGCAAGCTCATGGACTGGGACACCGACTCTGGATGACTCGTCACCTGAAGGGGGAGGAGAGGAGGATGACGAACACAAGATTAGCAACCTTGCCACTCTAAACGGCAGCACTGCTCAGCCAGGCCCAGTGACCGGCAGATTAGAGCTGAGATAGAACATGACAGCACTGACTACAGCACTCAGCATCACGGCACAGGAAATGAACTGCCAGACACACTGCAGTACAATATGCAGGAGCTAAATCTCAGGCGCACAAAACCCTCCAAATCTTGACCGTTTATTTACTAGCACGGCTGAATCTCTACATAACCATACAGCCATGATCAAAACAGACACGTCTCCTGAGAGTCTCTCTGAAGTTGTTTTTACGGCTATTTATTCTTTAATTAACAGCTTGGCGAAACTAACTGAGCAACACAACTGAAATCAACAGCAAGATCATAAAAGCTTGCCTGCAAAAAACAGGCACTGATCCATAAAACAAATCTTTCTAATGATAAATATCCAGTACAGGTTTGCCCACCAAAACGAATTAGCTTGCGTGTCTGAAGCTCTCACGTAAGTGTTTCACTCCAAATGGGATCTGCTCACTGTTTTGAGTCTGAAGAGATGCCTTTCATGCCCAGAATGAGTGATTCATTGAATAGCTCCCAAGGCCTCCATAATGCTGAGCATATTTGTGGCGTACACAAGGGCAGAGGCTCTGCCATGTCTAGCTCAAGACAACAGTGTTTAGCAGACTGGAGAGGCTGGCAAAACAGTCATCTGCCACTCTGAAGAAGTCTAATTCTAGCTGTCAGTGTGAACTAGTGAGAGGAAATACATGTATCTGAAGACATCACAAAGCTATTGCAAACAATCCCGTAAACAGATAATTGTTAGCGCCGGCGTTTCCTACAGTGTCTCCCATTGATAATACATGGTTCCAGTGTTATACTACACAAAAAAGCTATTAAAAAAAAAAAAATAAATAAAAAATAAACCTTTTACAGCAATAAAACTTTGTGAATATCTTACATTTGAAATCCCATTCATTCAGAACAGGTTCACTGAAAATGCCTGAAAATGTAAGAATTTATATTTTGTTATAAAATTCAATAGTCTCTTGTCAGTACCCAAAATGCATATGAATGTAATCATATTCAGTACTGGACAGACAACCATATTCTGCTAGGTATGCACAATATTAACTTTCTGGCTGACAATGATAAGACGATAATTATTTTCATGTTATGGCTCATTACTAATAAATGGAAAATATTAAAATTCTATACTATATCTTTAAAACTATACTAAAACATTAAAAACTAAAACTAATACTACACATGAATTTAGGCATTACTAAATCAGAGCAGGAAACACTAGTTAGCTTGCATAGAACATTAGCAGCAGAGACTAATTGTACACAAGAAATATGAGCAGTGGGAGTCAGATGACACTATGCATCACTGTAAAGATGAGCGCATATAATCTGGTTATGTTCAAACAGATTACATTGTTCAAATCAGCTGGATGAAGCAGAAAAAGACAGACAGAGAGACTGAGAGAGAGAGCGAGAGAGAGAGAGAGAGAGAGAGAAAAAGCATTGTCTGGCCCACTGAAGTGAATCTATCAGTGTCTGTGCCGGATCAATGCTGAGAGCCTGGAGCGAGAAGCATGCAGGGCTTCTAGGGGACCACAACAAAGAAGCGGCTTCTCTGGTGGGAGGACATCAGAGGCAGCGTCTCTCTTTAGCAGCGCTCCAGCAGTATGAGCTCTGCCTTTCATTCCCTTAACCTCTGTGTCAGCACGCTCCCATGCACAGGCCTCCATACTCCAGCATTCTGACAAACGCACTGGAATCTTGCTGCTTCTCATAAAGCAGCGCTCCACAATAAAACTCAGCAAATTAAGAGCTCTGCTTCAGGTTCACGAGAGGTTAAAGAGCAGAATAGTGCCTGCAAAGTTTGAGAATTCAGCTCTTACTGGTGTGTAGCTGTGCACGCTGCCCACGCTGTTGAGATTAACAGAGGCCAGACTCTGGTCAGAGAGACTATTGTTAAGACTGCTTCGAGGGCTGTCACTCCCGTCCTGGTCAGGGTTGTACAATGCCACCTGAAAATCAAGAAAGAGAAAGGGTCAATGATTTAGACAATGAATGAGTGCTTATGATAAAAATCTAGTTTAAAACACAAGTGCCAAGTTCTTAGACATGTACTCTTTTGTTCATGTTGGTTTCATAAGGTTAAGAAAAACTTGAAAAATTGTATGCCTTTAAAAATAACAACATTTTTACATTTGTGACCCTGGACCACAAAACCAGTATTAAGTTGCTGGGGTATATTTGTAGCAATAGCCCAAAATACACTGTATGGGTCAAAATTATCGATTTTCCTTTTATGCCAAAAATCATTAGGATAATAGCTGCTTTTTTGAACATTTTAGCAATTTAAAAATATTAAAAAATGATTTTTTTACACGGTACCCCTGCTCTCAACAGATGTGGCACCCCGGTTGGGAAACACCTGAGACACAGGAAACAGAAATACTGCAAAATAATAATAATAACGCGACAAAACGAGACGAAATAACGTTATAACATTTCATTTCATCTCATCTCGTTTTGGTCAACGAAAATGAAGAGACATTTTAGCATAGTTTTTATTTTGTAAACCACATTTAGTCTCGTTTTTATTCGTCAACAATAGTGCATTATACATTTAATTATAGTCATCGTCACATGACCAGCATTTACATTGCGTCTCGTCTCGTTTCCGTCACGTGATAAAGGTTCGTTGACGACGATATTTAGGCATAATTTTCGTTGACGAAAGCAACACTAAGAAGGCGTAACTTTGATTCTCGCTGTAGTATTGTTGTTGCCGTGTGTTTCGTTGTGAAAGCGAAACTACTTTGTTTGGTCTTCCAAAAGAGGACGATATCCTCTTCG